CTTGAGAAATGCTGAGCATATTCCTCCCTTTTGGTTTTCTAACTCTAGGTCTTTGCACATGTCATTATAATAGTTTACTTTGTCTTCTCGGCTGGCCTTTGAAATCTTCTGTTCAGCTCTTTGACTTCATCATTTCTTCCTTTTGCTATGTTAAAAAGTAAATTTCAGAGTGTCTTCTGACATCCATTTTGGTCTCTTTCTTTCTTGTCTTTTCAAAGACCTATTGCTTTCTTCATGTGTGATGTGCCTCCACATCTTGTCTGGTGTCCGATCATTAGTGCTTAATGAGTCAAATCTATTCTTGAGATGGTCTCTAAATTCAGTTGGAATATACTCAAGGTTATACTTTGGCTCTCATAGACCTGTTCTCATTTTCTTCAGCTTCAACTCTGGACATTATACCTCTATTAATGCCTCCTAATGGTGCAAATAAGCAGCCATGGTGGCACAATGGTTAAGCACTTGGCTGCTAACTGAGAGGTCCTCGGTTCAAACCCACCCAGTGGCTCCGTGTGAGGACGACCCGGTGATCTGCTCCGGTGAAGATTGCTGCTGCTGTGTGTCGTTGAATCAGTTCTGACTGATAGAGACCCTGTAGGACAGAGCAGAACTGCCCCATGGGGTTTCCCAGGCTGTAATCTTTACAGTAGCAGACAGCCACATCTTTCTTCCATGGAATGGCTAGTGGGTTTGAACCACCTACCTTTCGGTTAGCAGCTGAGCACTTAACCGCTGCACCACCAGAGCTCCTGCCGTGTAAAGATTGTTGCTGTTTTTGTTACGTGCTGTTGAATTGGTTCCGACTCATATTGACCCTGTGTAAAGAGAACAAAACACTGCCCGGTCCTGCACCACCCTCACAATCATTATTATGTTTGAGCCCATTGTTGCAGCCACTGTGTCAGTCCATCTCATTGAGGGTCTTTCTCTTTTCCGCTGACCCTCTACTTTACCAAGGATGATGTCCTTCTCTAGGGATCGGTCCCTCTTGATAACTTGCCCAACGTATGTGAGACGAAGTCTCGCCATCTTCCCTTCTAAGGGGCATTCTGGCTGTACTTCTTCCAAGACAGATTTGTTTGTTTTTCTGGCAGTCCATGGTATATTCAGTGTTCTTTGCCAACACCGTGATTCAAAGGCGTCAATTCTTCTTCAGTCTTCCTTATTCATTGTCCAGCTTTTACATGCATATGAGGCAATTGAAAATACCATGGCTTGGGTCAGGCACACCTTAGTCCTTAAAGTGGCATCTTTGCTTTTCAACATTTTAAAGAGGTCTTTTGCAGCAGATTTGCCCAATGCGATAAATCGTTCAATTTCTTGACTGCTGCTTTCACGGTATTGATTGTGGATCCAAGTAAAATGAAGTCCTTGACAACTTCAATCTTTTCTCCATTTGTCATGATGGTGCTTATTGGTCCAGTTGTGAGGATTTTTGTTTTCTTTATGTTGAGGTGTAATCCATACTGAAGGCCGTGGGCTTTGATCTTCTTCAGTAAGTGCTTCAGGTCCTCTTCACTTTCAGCAAGCAAGGTTGTGTCATCTGCATAATACAGGTTGTTAATGAGTCTTCCTCTAATCCTGATGCCCCATTCTTATTCATATAATCCAGCTTCTCATATTATTTGCTCAGCATAGAGATTGAATATGTATGGTGAAAGGATACAACCCTGATGCACACCTTTGCTGAATTTAAACCACGCCGTATCCCCTTGTTCTGTTTGAACGGCTGTCTCTTGGTCTATGTACAGGTTCCGCATGAGCACAATTCAGTGTTCTCTGTAAAGATTACCGCTTAGGAAACCCTATGGGCCAGTTCTACTTTATCGTATAGGGTCACTACGAGTTGGAATCGACTTGATGGGACACAATAACAACAACAACGATGCAAACAGGTAACACACTCAATGCTAACTGAAAGGTTGGCAGGTCGAGTCCACCCTGAGGTGCCTTGGAAGAAAGGCCTGTCATTCCCCTTCCAAAAAATCAGCCATTGAAAACCCTGTTGAGCGCTGTTCAGCTCTGACACACGCAGTGCTGCCGTGAGTCAGAGTCCACTCAACGGCAATTGGTCAAGTTCACCTCAACTTCAGGCCTCTTGCTGCAGATCCTCTCCTTAGGCCTGAGGGTCCCACTGCTGGACTCTCCAGCTGACCCAGGACCCATGCCACTCGGCTAGTGCTGCTGTTCTGGCTGCCACCGACAGTCAGGCCTGCTGGTCCCCAAGCTTGTTTATGCCAGCCACACTTGTCCAAATAACTACACCCTGCATTACTTAAAATGATGAAATATGAGCGCAGAAGGAGAGAGCTGTTTTCTTCCGGAGGAGAGAAGTTGGCTGCTTTGAAAAGATTCCATACAGGCATTTTGGTCCGACAATTGCTAGAAATTCGGGTGTGGGGGAGCCAACTATGAAAAGATGGGGAGGGATGGACGAACCTAGGACTCTATGTTCAGCCTCTTGGAGCAAAAAACCAAAGCCAAAATCATTGCCGTTAGTCGATTCTGACTCGTGGAGACCCCAGGAGTGCAGAGTAGAACTGCGCCATGGGATTTTCAAGGCAGTGACCTTTTGGAAGAAGATCACCAGGCCTTTCTTCTGAGGTGTCTCTCAGTGGGTTTGAACGGCCAACTTTTCGGTTGGTAGTCTAGGGCTTTACCCACCCAGGGATCTTTGCGGGAGCAGGAGGGTCTTTAAAGTCTCCTCTACTTTAAAGAAAGCTGAAAACTGCAGACCAGCAGTTCTCAAAGCAGCATCACCCAGGAACTTATTAAAAATACAAATTTTTCTGGCCCTGCCCAGGACCCACCAAATCAGCAGCTCTGGGGTGGGACTCAGCAACCCAGATCTTAACAAGCTCCTCAGTGATTTTTTTTTTTAAATAATTTATTTTATTTTGTTGTTGTTGTTGAAAACATACACAGCAAAATCATACACCAATTCAAGTTTCTAAACATACAATTCGGTGACATTGACTATATTCTTCGAGTTGTGCAACAATTCTCATCCTCCTTTTCTGCATTGTTCCTTCTCCATTAGCATAAACTCACTGCCCCCTGAAGTGCTGATCTAATATTTCGAGTTGCTGTTACCAATTTGATCCCATATAGATAGTTCTTTAAAAAAGCACCTTGCTCAAGGGAGACATTTTTTACTAGTTAAGCTAAATATTGTTTGGTTTTAAGAAGACTTCAGGGGATATTTTTGGTTTAAGGTTTAAAGATGATCTCAGGGCAATAGTTTCAAGGGTTCATCCAACCTTCATGGCTCCAGAAATTCTGGAGTCTATGAGAATTTGAAATTCTGTTCTGCATTTTCCCCCTTTTGATCAGGATTCTTCTATAGAATCATTGATCAAAATGTTCGGTAATTGTAGCCAGGCACCGTCCAGTTCTTCTGATCTCATGGCAAGTGAGGCAGTTGTTCATGAGGGCAGTTAGCCAGTCTTTCCATCTCCTTCTATTCCCGACTCTCCTTCTTCCTCTCTTGCCCCTGGTGAATAGAGACAAATTGTTGTGTCTTGGATGGCTGCTTGCACACTTTTAAGACCCCGGCACTACAAAACAAACTTCAAGGTAGAACAGAAGCCGTAAACACGTTATTAGGCCAATTAACTGGCACATCCCATGAAACCACGACCCTAAGCCCCCAAACCGAGGAACCAAATCCCATGAGGCATTTGACTGTATACAAGCAGCCTCAGCAGCTACTCTCTTTTCTGTCAATATATCTCTCACGCAACTCTCATTGCTGTCAATATATCTCTCATGCAACTTTTGCCAAGTCAGCTTTTTACAGGTGTACAACTTACTAACGACACTTACGATAATCACCTGTGCAACCCTACCCTTAATCAATGCGATTTTTCCATCACGGTAAACCGGAACTCTGTACTCCATAAGCAATAACATGCAACGCACCATTTTAAAGTGAACAATTCCGGGCATTTTAATGCTGTGCAGCCACCACCCCCTCAAGTCACATGACTGTCTCTCACCCCAGAAGAACACTCCAGAGCATTAAGCGGTCTCCACCCAGCCCTGGCAGCCCTGCTCTGCTCTCTGTGGATCTGCCTGCTCTGAATATTTCACATTAAAGGAATCAGACGCTATGTGACCTTTTATGTCTGGCTTCCTTCCCTTAGTATAATGCTTTCGAGTTTCCTCCGCCAACATGTGACAGAACTCCGGTCCTTTTTATGGCCAACAGTATTCCATTGTGTGGATAGACGGCCATTTGTTTACGCGTCCATCCAGATGGTGGATACTGGGATTCCCGAGATGATTCTGAGAGCTTTGCTCAGTGGAGACCACTCCCTGGGGGGCAATTTATGGGCAAAAAGACCCCACAGAGCTCTGAACAGCAGACTCGAACCAAAGCAGAGGCTGTGGCCTCACATCTGAAGACTGGCAGATGAGGGCACATTTACATGTTTCGAGTAAAACTGGATGTTGAGGGCACCTGGAGGTTCCGTCTGAGGGTCCCCACCTCGGCAGGCTCCGTCTGAGTGGCCACCAGGCTAGGTCAGTTCCCCACACGACGGCGTGTCAGATGAGGGCTCTGCTGAGGGGCATTCCTGAGCATCAAGCCCCCGGCACCAAGTCCCCCACATGATGGCTTCACTGAATACTCAGAGACCCTGTGAGGGGAGGCTCAGCAGTCCCCAGTTTTCAGGTCTCGTGACTTGCCCACCATCTCTCAGCTAGCACGGGGCGGCTCCCTAAACCCTGCCTCTGCTCTGGCCCTCTCTCGTGCTGACCGCTGTGGGTTTCCTCACAGCTCCACCACGCCTGCAGCGGCCCGGGCCTGTCCGTGCTCTGCTTCCTGCGGCGGGACATCCTGGAATACTTCAGTATCTACGGCACAGCGCTGAGCATGTGGGTGTCTCTCATGGGTGAGTGCCCCCACCTGCACACACGTGGATGTCTCTGTGGGCGAGTGTGCCCCCACTCCGCCTATACACACATGGGTGACTCTGATAGGTGAGTGTGCCCCCATCCCACCCTGCACACACGTGGGTGTTTCTGATGGGTGAGTGCGCCCCCACCCGCCCTGCACACACATGGGTGTCTCTCTGCTGGGTGAGTGTGCCCCTACCCTGCCTGCACACACGTGGATGTCTCTGATGGGTGAGCATGCCCCACCTCGCCTGCACACCAGGTCCGCCTCCCAGTCGTTCGCCCACCAGAAGCAGGCCACCTCGCTGAACACCACCTCTGAGACCCTCCCCTCTCCTGGGTCCCAGAGACAAAGCTTAATGTAGGAAAAAGAACAGGCCACTGGTAACTGCCTCAACTCCTGCTTCTCTTATCCGTAAATTCTGTGTAATAAACGGTTCTGACACATTCAGATAGCAGAGGCAACAAAGAGCAAGTGGAAGCCCCCCGCCCCCGGCGGCCCTGGGTCGGCCTCCTGCGGCTTTCTGGAGGCTTACACAGCAAGCACACACACGTAGAGTTTTCAGTGTGGGCTGTTATGTGGATGGGGCCATTCATAAGCATATTGTTCTGTAACTTTTTACCATTTAACTTCGTCTCCTGACCCCCTGCGGTCCCTACTGCAGGAGGGTTCCCCACACTCACCCAGCCCCAGGAAGGGCTCAGGATCTGTTCTTGGACCCTTTAATATTTTTTTGTAAATATACATATAACACAACGTTTGCCAGCTCAACGTTTTTCAGGTGTACAATTCAGTGATGTCACTTACATTACTCATGCTGTACAAGCACCACCCGTGGTCGTTGCCAAATTACATCACCATAAACAGAAACTCCCTGCTCCCAAAACTGCTCTCGGATCGCATCGTCGATCTGGGTGGCTTCGTCCTGGTCATCCTGGGGGATGGAGTCACCCTGTCATTTGCGGATCGGTCTGTGTATTAAGCAGGCGCCTGCTGGCATCACCAGGCGGCTCTGTCCACAGGGAGCAGCAGCCTGCCTTTCCTGTAAAACCACTGGGATTCTGACCTCTCAGACCAGGCTGGCCTTGGGGTCTTGCTGGCTGAGAGGCGTCACCCTGGACGCCTGGATGAGCCTCCAGGGAGAAGCCGCCAGGAGGGCAGGAAGGCTCTGACCTCTCCCGGCTTCTCTCCCTGGCCCCTTCAGCACTGGCTGACTTCGATGAGCCCAAGAGGTCGACGTTCGTGATGTTTGGTGTCCTGACCATCGCGGTGCGCATCTACCACGACCGCGTGGGCTACGGCGTGTACTCGGGCCCCATAGGCACCGCCGTCCTCATCATCGCGGCAAAGTGGGTGCGTACCATCCGAGTCTCAACACAGAAGGGCCAGGGAGGCCTGTGACCCCCTCCCCTGATCTGGCTCCTGCCTGGGGTCTCCATGGACAGGCAGGCTGAACATGTGGCCTCAGGTAAAACACAGACAATGACCCTCAGGTCCTCTAGACAGGAGACCTGCTTGCATCCTGTCTGCTCACAAGCTGGGGACCTAATCCTGTGACTGAACCTCCCAGCTTCAGTTTCCAGATCTGCAAAGTGGGTATTACAACAACAGAATGATCCTGACCACGTAGGGTTGATTCAGAAATGAACTGAGAAAATGCATGTAGAGTATCTGGGTCTGTGCCCAGCTTCTAACGCATTGAACACATATTGCTGTTGTTAGTTGCTCTGACTCCTGGCGACCCTACGTACAACAGAACGAAACATTGCCCAGTTTGCGCCCTCCTCACAATAGTTGTTACGTTTGAGCCCATTGTTGCAGCTATTATGTCAATCCACCTCATTGAGGGTTTCCCGTGTTTTCGCTGACCCTCTACTTTACCAGTAGAGCCAAAAAGAGGAAGACCCTCCATGAGATGGATTGGCACAGTGGCTGCAACAATGGGCTCAAGCATAACAACGATCATGAGGATGGCGCAGGACCAGACAGTGTTTCGTTCTGTTGTATATGGGTCGCTGTAAGTCAGAACCAACTCCATAGCACCTAACAACAGCTACTTTGGCACACATGATGTCCTTTTCTATCGATCGGTTTTTCATGATGACGTGTCCAAAGTAAACAAGTCAAAGTCTTGCCATCCTCACTGCTAAGGAACATTCTGGTTGTATTTCTTCTAAGACTGGTTTGTTAATTCTTTTGGCAGTCCATGATATTCAGTACTCTTTGACAAGATCGCGTCAATTCTTCTTCTGTCTTTCTTTTTCATTATCCAACTTTCACATGCATACAAGGCAATTGAAAAAATCATGGCTTGGGTCGGGCACACTTTAGTCCTCAAAGTGACATCTTTATTTTTCAACAATTTAAAGAGATCTTTTGCAGCAGATTTGCCCAATACAGTGTGTCTTTTGATTTCCTGACTGCTGCTTCCATGAACGTTGATTGTGGATCCAAATAAAACGAAATCCTTGACAACTTCAATCTTTTCTCCGTTTATCATGATGTTACTTATTGGTCCAGTTGTGAGGATTTTTGTTTTCTTTATGTTAAAGTGTAATCCATAAGAAGGCTGTGGTCTTTGATCTTCATCAGTAAGTACTTCAAGTCCTCTTCATTTTCAGCAAGCAAGGTTGTGTTATCTGCGTATCGCAAGTTGCTAATGAGTCTTCCTCCAATCCTGATGACCCATTCTTCTTCATATAGTCCAGCTTTTCGGAGTATTTGTTCAGTATACATATTGAATAAATAAGCTGAAAGGATACAACCCTGCCACACACCCTTTCCAATTTTAAACCACACAGTATCCTCTTATTCTGTTTGAATGACTGCCTCTTGATCCGTGAACAGGTTCTGCATGAGCACAATTAAGTGTTCTGGAATTCCCAGTCTTTGCAATGTTATCCATAATTTGTTATGATCCATGCAGTTGAATGCCTTCACATAGTAGATAAAACATAGGTAAACATCTTTCTGCTATTCTCTGCTTTGGGCCCAAATCCGTCTGACAACATCAATGATACCACTCATTCCACGTCCTCTTCTGAATCCAGCTTGAATTTCTGGCAGTTCCCTGTAGATGTACTGCTGCAATTGTTTTTCAACTATCTTCAGCAGAATTTTGCTAACATGTGATATTAATGATACTGTTCTATAATTTCTGCATTCTGTCTGATCACCTTTCTTTGGAATGGGCACATATATGGATCTCTTCTAGTCGGTTGGCCAGGTAGCTGTCTTCCAAATTTCTCAACATAGATGAGTAAGCGCCTCCAGTACTGCATTCATTTGTTGGAACATCTCAATTGGTATTCCATTAATTCCTGGAGTCTTTGTTTTTTGCCAATGCCTTCAGTGCAGCTTGGACTTCTTCCTTTAGTACCATTGGTTCTTGACCATCTGCTACCTCCTGAAATGTGTTGAAAGTTGACCAATTCTTTTTGGTACAGTGACTCTGTGTATTCTTTCCATCTTCTTTTGATGCTTCCTGTATCATTCAATATTTTGCACATAGAATCCTCCAATTTGGCAACTCGAGGCTTGAATGTTTTCTTCAGTTCTTTCAGCTTGAGAAATGCGGAGGGTGTTCTTCCCTTTTGGTTTTCTAACTACAGGTCTTTGCACATGTCGTTATAATAATCTACTTTGTCTTCTCCAGTCATCCTTTGAAATGTTTTGTTCAGCTCTTTTACTTCATCATTTCTTCCTTTCGCTTTAGCTACTCTATGTTCAAGAGCAAGTTTCAGAGTCTCTTCTGACATCCATTTTGGTCTTTTCTTTCTTCCCTGTCTTTTTAATGATCTTTCACTTTCTTCATATAGTATTTCCTTGATGTCATTCTAAAACTCATCTGGTCATTAGTGTTCAATGTGTCAAATCTATCCTCGAGATGGTCTCTAAATTCAGGTGGGATATACAAGGTGGTACTTTGGCTCACGTGAGCTTGCTTTAATTTTCTTCAGCTTCAGTTTGAACTTGCATATGAGCAATTGATGGTCTGTTCTGACTGATGATATTGAGCTTCTCCATTGTCTCTTTCCACAGATGTGGTTGATTTGATTCCTGTGTATTCCATCCTGCAAGGTCCACATGTATAGTCACTGTTTGTGTCAAAAAAGGTATTTCCAGGGAATAAGTTGTTGCTCTTGCCAAATTCTATCATATGATTTCCTGAGTCATTTCTATCACCAAGACCATATTTTCCAACTACTGATCCTTCTTTGTTTCCAACTTTCACATGCTAATCACCAGTAATTGTCAACGCATCTTGATTGTATGTTTGATCAATTTCAGATTGCATCAATTCATAACGAATCTTCAACTTCTTCATCTTTGGCATTCGTGGTTGGTACAGAAATTTGAATAATAGTCATATTAACTGGTCTTTCTTGTAGGCATATGGATATTAACCTATCATTGACAGCATCGTGCTTTAGGATAGATCTTAAACTAATCAAAAAGAATATTTCTAGTTCAACACATAGGAGCTAGTTATTATTACTGTTGTTGTTGTTACTGGTAAGGAGGATGGCTGCTTTAGAGACGCACCATCAACTTGGATTAGTCTGGGAAGGCTTCCTGAAGGGGGTGAGCCTTGAGCTCAGTTCTAAGTTAACCGGGAGGGTATGGTGTGAAGTCAACAGGAAGATGAAACTGCTCCTGGGCACTGAAGCAGCTTGAGCTGCAGTTTCCAACACTAAGGACCCCCTTGCTGAGCACCTGATGAGGCTTTTGGTCTCCAATCCACACAGCACCCACCGTGGTACCAAGGCCCTCCCGGCTGCAAGGGCCAGAGACCCACTCACACTAGTCCAAGCTAACGAGTGGCCCAGGAGCAGAAAGCGAGCAACCCTGGAAGGGAACCAGATGCAGACCTATAGAGCCAGCCTGCCTGAGGCTGGACCCCACCCTCCAGGTCCTAGGCTGACTGACATCCCCCACATTCTACCCACCTTGGAGCACAGCCAGGAACCTCAGGGTCCCAACACCAAAAGCTAGGAGAAACTGGGGTTTGGCCCAGCTGCAGCCCCAGCCCGACTCGGGGTCATGAGCCTTAGCTAGGAGGGCAGAACCTCAAGGCATAAGTAAGGTAAGCTGCAGCCGTCCTCCTGGGCTGCAGGGGAGCAGAGCTCAGAGAAGAGGGGCCCAGGCTGGACAGGTCTTTCAGAAGGTGTCCATGAACCCATTTTACGATGCAAGAGGGAAAATAAAGTTCTGGTGATGACCTTTCAAAACCCCCTTCTCTCCCAAAGAGGGAGTAGGATTTAGTCTGGCAGCTGGCTCACGAAGAAATAAAGGCCCAGAAAGATGGGCCACCTACAAAATTCACCGCAGAACAGCGGCCTGTTGGGGCTTGACCTTTCCAGCCAAAAGAGGAGAAAGACTCTCCTTTCTCACTCCAACTTAGGGAATCAGAGCTATGATGCTGGGCCAAGCCAGGAGACGCGCGAAGCCGCCTTGCGAGGGGGAGAACATTTGTTGGGGTCTGACTTGTCCTGACCCCACAAAGGCCACGTTAATTAGCACACTGGAATGCATAAACTCCAGAGGGTTCTCAGATCACCCCATTCCCAGCCTAGGCTCTGACGTCTGGCTCCCCTTCCAGCCGGAAATAGGCTCAAGGCTTCTTGCTCTGCTCTGCAGGGCTGGTCTTCCTGCTGGTCCTGGCAGGTCTGGATCTGAGGCTGGATGTTAATTAGCCAGAATAGAACTTGCTCATTAGTGTTCTGTGAGTTGCAGAGGCTTCCCCGGCCCACAGGCTGCGGATCCAGCCAGGAGGAGCTGGGCCACCTCCCCGTGCCCAGGGCTCCAATTGTGTTCTAGACCATTTAAAGTGGAGTTTATTTTGGATTTTCAAGGGCAGTTGTTTCCTGGAATGAGGGTAGACTTTCTCCCAGAGAGGCTCGTCCCTTCTTGTGAGAGCTTCAGAAACAACAACCCTCAGGGACAGGAAGTGAAGAGAGCTAGGGTGATGGGGGGCGGGCCCACCATGTGATCTTGGGCAGGTGTGTGTGACCTTGGGTAAGCACATGTGACCTTGGACAGGCGTTTGAGCAGGTGTATGTGACCTTGGGTAAGTACATGTGAGCTCGGACAGGTGTGTGTGACCTTGAGCAGGTGTGTGTGACCTTGGGTAAGTACATGTGACCTTGGACAGGTGTGTGTGACCTTGGGCAGGTGTGTGTGACCTTGGGTAAGTACATGTGACCTTGGGCAAGTACATGTGACCTTGGGCAGGTGTGTGTGACCTTGGGCAGGTGCCTCCTCTCCTAGGGCCCCAGTGCTACCACCAAAGCTTCAGGATTGGCTGAACAAGGACTTCCCAGGCTGAGGCCACCCAGACCCACGTCCCACTTTCTGGCTGCACGCTCACACTGCCTGCAAAACGGCAGGCCCTCGAGTCCTCATCGGCAACGGCAAATTCCAGAAAACTGGAAAACAGTGTCATTTCATAATTCATTTGGTGGCAAAACTTGACCCAGCATGAAGCTGCTTACGGTCTTTATTTGCTCGACCCAGTGGGTCTGCTGGTGGCAAGGATGGGGGTGCTGCAGGAACCACTGGGCACTGAAGGACCTACTGATTATGCAGCGTTACCCCCCTGAAGTCCCACCCACCCTGAATCCTGACACACATCTGGCCCCACAGGCTTGCGCTTAAGGAGCGTGAGGCTGCATTCACCTGTCGTTTCTCTGTACGTCACCATCTTTTAAAACGTAAATACCTGCTTGCACTTTACTCTGAGCATCTGTATCTGAGATCCTGGGTTTAATGTGCTGGTTACTCTAAAAAATACTAAAGAAGTCCATTGACTATTAAAGCAAATGATGTGTGCCTGGATGCCATCACGGACCACCATCCATACTGCCCCATGGGTCACGTTGGGCTAGCAGGCCCCAGCTGGCCCTAATACCCTCCAACTGTGAACGCATGTAGATCTAGTCCCTCTGGGGGTTCCCCTCTGCCTGGGAGACGGAAACCATGCAAGGAGCAGCCTGTCACACCCCAAAGAGGCGGGGGGGAGCAGGTGGTCCTCCAGGAGCAAATTAACCCAAGGGGTCTCCAGCCAGGTCGAGGGAGGGGGGCCTCCGGGCTGGGTTCTTACTGGTCTTGCAGCAGAGGGCCTAGGTTCAACTCAGCCTGCATGTGCTATGTGACCAGGCAGCTGGTCCTCTCGGAGTCTCCTCGCCTGCCTGGAGGGTGCAGGAGAGGAGCCACACTGGGGACGGGCTGTGCAAGGGAGGGACTGTGCAAGGAAGGATCCGCACTGGGAAGGGGCTGCATGCAGTGGAGGGGATGTGCAGGAGAGGGGCTGCATGCAGGGGAAGAGCTGTGTAGGGGAGGGGCCTCATGCAGGGAAGGGTCTGTGCAGGGGAGGGGCTGTGCAGGGAAGCGGCTATGCCGGGGAGGGGCTGTGCAGGGAAGGGTCTTTGCAGGGTAGCGGCTTTGCAGGGAAGGGGTTGTGCAGGGGAGGGGCTGCAAGCAGGAGAAGAGCTGTGTAGGGGAGGGGCCTCATGCAGGCAAGGGGCCATGCAGGGAGGGCCGCCCTGGAACCTGGGACCTGAGCGAGCCTCCTGTCTGCTCTCCACAGCTGCAGAAGATGAAGGAGAAGAAGGGTCTGTACCCAGACAAGAGTGTCTACACCCAGCAGATAGGCCCTGGCCTCTGCTTTGGGGCCCTGGCCCTGATGCTGCGCTTCTTTTTCGAGGTAAGAGCCCCAGAGGAACAGGCCGTGATGGGTGGCCTGGTCCCCAGTCACGTATCACCCCGCTATTCACCATCTTGCACCCCGGGAGGCTGTTGGGGTTCCTTCCAATCAATGGATTGTCTGTCGTCCTTCCCCAACACCACCGGGGGGGTGAGGAGGTGTCACAGAGACACCAGTGATGCAGCCCTGCCTTTGGAGAACTTGAAGCGAGGCACCTCACCAGTAGGAAGGTGCCACCAGCCAGAGCTGGCACTTTGGAGACTCCCAATGATTTTTAAGAGGGAGAAAGAGGAAGGCGGGAAGGAAGCAAGGGAAGAGGGAAGGACAGGAGGGAGGGAAAGAGGGAAGGAGGGAGGGGAGGAGGGAGGGAAGAGGGAGAGACAGGAGGGAGGGAAGGAGGGAGGGAAGAGGGAGAGACAGGAGGAAAGGAAGGAGGGAAGGAGGGAGGGAAGAGGGAGAGACAGGAGGGAAGGAAGGAGGGAAGGAGGGAGGGAAGAGGGAAGGACAGGAGGGAGGGAAGGAGGGAAGGAGGGAGGGAAGAGGGAAGGACAGGAGGGAGAGAAGGAGGGAAGGAGGGAGGGAAGAGGGAAGGA